CTGAACTGCTAACGGAGTGATAAATCACTCCTGAAGTTGCACTTAGAGTTTTAATAATTCTTAAAATAGAGACGAGTAAGTTAGGTAGAGACTTAGCTTTAGCGATATATTTTCAATGTAAAGTATACATATGTTTAATAAAGCACACATACCTAGCCTGACAGAGGGTAAAAAAAAAAAAATAAAAAAAAATAAAGTTAACTATTATTTTTTAACTATTTCTTAAATCAGTATATTATTATTTTAAGATTTTTTTGATATTATTTTTAATATTTTTGATTTTTATATTATAATATATAATTTTAAAACTTTTTATTATATTTTGAATATCTTTTTTAAGAGATATTTATAAAATATTTAATATATTATATTAAATACAAAAGTTTTCATTTGAGGATTAAAATTGTAAATAATATTATATTTTTTTATAACTATATTAAGAACTTATATATTTTGAATATTTTAATATTTTTTTTTTTTTGAAAGATACTTTAAGTTTCAATGTTTTTAAATAAGATAAACTTTAGATTATATTTGTATTATTTTTTTAATTATAAAAGTATTTTTTTTTATTATAAGTTTATTAAATGTTATTTTATTCAATAATTTTTAAAATATTTTTAGATTTTATTTAATTATTTCTTTTATTATTTTCATTAGTTTTATAATTTAATAATAATTAAATCTCTATATATTTATATAGTATATAATTATTTAAAAACTTTAATATATATATTATATTTTTATCATATATTTTAATTTTATTAATTTTAAGTTTTTAGTTATATAATTAAAAATTATAATAATTATATATATTGTGTTATAATATTAATTTATTTATTTTTCAAAAATTTTACATAAATAATCTTTAAAATTTATTATTTTTAAAAAATCATTAAGCTTTTGTTTTTAAATAATTTGATTGATATTTATTATAAATCATATAATAATTAATAGAAAAATTGATTTTTTAATAATAATGAAACTTTAAAAATTATTCATAAAAAATTTTTGAAAAAAAAAATAAAATTGACAAAGTTGAAATTTATAATAAATATATAGTATAATATATAAATGCAAACTTTTGAACTATTATATTATTTTAATAATCTTAAATTATATTTATTTTTTAAAATAATATTTTTTTTATTTATATAATATTTGTTAATATAGTTAGTTACATTTTTAATAATTATAAATTTATTAAAATATAATTATTATTTTTTTTTATAAAAAAATTATTTATAGATCAATTAATAAAAAGTTGAAATTAATAAATTAGTAATTATAAAATTTACAAAAATAGATGTCTTTGATTGATGGAACACATAAAATTTTTACTAGGTGTAACAGGCAATTCCTATTCTGGAAGTATTGGCCAAGGGGGAATTATTTAAGCAAACTCTATTAATAATTAATGCAGATATCATTGAATGGGTCTTATTTCGAGTCCCCATAGAGCTTGCGCGATTCTCCCAAAAATCGCTGTGATTTGCTTAATAAATTTAGGAATGCTTTTCTTCAGCGTGTGGAATTAATTCGCGAGATTGCATAGTTAGTCAACAGACCAAGGCTAATATACAGTAATAACATTCATTATTGATGAACAATCGAAGAGATTCTTCTATAGTGAATCACTCGACGATAGATTGACGCTCATTTATTTCTATTCTATCGGGTATCATTGACTGTGATCGATATGGATTTCTGTAGGCAGCATTAGATTAAAAAAAATTAATGTGAATAAGAATTGTGCGGAACTCGGATTACGGTATACTTTTATGGTTTCCTTTTAGTAACACAGGCTCGGGTCACAATTAAAAAATTCCTCGAGGCAATTACGTAAAAATCTAAATAGAAATCTACTTGTAGAGTATTCAGTGATCTTAAAGGTTCGTCTCGATAGTTAATATCAAGGTCCCCTGCATGCGTACGGACAGGACCCATTAAAAAAGTCATATCCTCAAAATGACTGCAGCTAGAAATGGGTTTAGGTTAATTTTTTTTTTTTCACCGGATACTTATGTGACACAAGGAAGACGAAGAAAACATCGAACTAGAAAATATTCTGTGTATCTAAGGAAAAAGGGGTACTTTTGCATATACTGCAGTTAAGAATATAGATAATACTGTACTTAATAGTACTATATACTGTATATGAAGCTAATTTAACTTATTGCTATCACGCGTGACGTAACAATTCAAAACCAATTTTATTTATATTTGATAATTATTTAAAATTAAAAAGGTTAATTTTTTTTTAAAAAAATAAATTAATTAGAAAATTAAAAGTACTCTATTAAATTTACATAAATCTATATGAAACATTAATTATTCTAGATAACGATAAAATAATCATTATTATAATAAAATTCGGCACATGACATTATTATCCTTTGGTGATCATTAACTTGTAATTATTTCTTTTAGTTGTCTCAGGATGCAGATAAGATTCACGGTTTACCATTTAAATCGACGAAATGGTTCAAAATCAATGGGAAAGAAGCATGGTGATAGAAGCAAGTGGACGGGTTAATTATCATTTGATTTAGCCGGCGACAACGACGAAACGACACAAAGGAAAAGCTGATCTTAAATTCTCATCGAGATTAAAATGGAAGCCGGAGGTCGACAAGTACAGATCGTGATTACGTTCAGGTGTCGCAATCCCATATCCAAAGGATGATTTCTCTATTATGCTCATCCGAATAGGGGCTACGATTGTTGATAACAAACCTTATCATTAGTGGCTTTAATTTAGATAAGGTTTAATAAACAGTATTATATTTCTTTGATAACTTGGGTAAATCTATTGCATCCAATCAGAATGTCACCGGGAGGGGACGCATCGGCTCTTTTACCACGCACTAGGTGTATCGGTATATTTGCGGATACACTGGTATTAATATTACACAAGCTAAGGTGGATGTTGACATTAAGCATATCAATACATTTCCATTTTATCGATCTTTTGGTGCGTACAATTATTAATAATTTTTTATATGATGCATACCAGTTTGGTTTATTCATCGAGTTATGATCCCGAGTCATCCCTGAGTAAATTTCTCTGAGCGATTGAAATTGATTACCAGCCGACGCATTCTTAAAAAAAAAAACATACGTGTATCAGACACAAAGGTGTCCACTTGAATTATATATCCACACTACCTGTCACAAATTTTTGAGATAAGCCAAATTTGAATTCAACTCATTTATCCAAGCAGGTTTCTTGGTCGTCGTGATAAACAGGTTCTTCATCTTTAAAGTTAGATCTTCATTATATACACATCATATTCTTATACATTACATACATATTTTTAATTTGATCGATGAAAAAAAACTTTTTTTTGGTTTACTGATATGCACAAAGATCTTTGTCATAAGACAAGAATCGCCGAGTACGTGATTCGTCGAAATGATACCCGCTTGATAAGTCTCTTGATATCCTTTTTTTAGATTGGTCACTGTAAACCTTCAGTAACGCTAATACATTAGCTTATCTAGTGTCACCTTTTTTTTTCACTATGAAATATGTTTCGTCATTATCTACTATTATTTCACTCTCACGTTTCTTGTGTCTATTACACATATGCCACATCAGCATAATCTACTGATGATAATGAATCATCGCCATATATACTATTTTTTTTTTTTTTTTTGCTTTATCTTTCATCAATCTTTTTTTTCTTTATTTGCATCACTATTTAAATATTATTATTGATAATACTCCGGTTTTTTTTGTTCTATTCTGCCGTACTGCTATAAAAACCATTAATTTCCTTCCAACCCCTCCATTTTGCTTCTCATCTTTTTCGTCAGTGTTAAATTTTTTCGAGCGCAAAGAAAAAAAATTTTTTTCCTTCGTTACTCATCACAACTTACTTAAACACATCACTACGTACTGTGCCCTAAAGAAGATTTTTGTCCTCATTAATTAATTATTTTATTGGATTTTTATTTTCTAATAATTTTTTAAAATAAAGAGTTTTCGCTAAAAATTTTTTAGCGTTTTTTTTCCACCCGATGCATATCTGGTCTTCTATTACAAAGTATTCTAGACCTGCTACAACTGACCGCACTCTTGCCTTATACCACATCGAGAGCCCAACTTTCATCTAGAAAGCAACCCATTAAACTTTCCATACAAATAGTTAAAGAGAGAACTTATTATTTGTTACCGGCGACAAGTACTTCTCTCCGAAGTCTGCCGACTCGCGTTTACCAAGAATACAATACAAATCAACCCAATACTCTCCACTTGAGAGTTCGAAAAAAAAGAGGTCGAACAAAAAACACAAACCTTTCCTAATTAAATATTCTGATATGACCGTTCAATCCGCTGCTCAAAGATCAAACTCCCACAGTAATCAACAGTCCCCACAATTTCAGCAACACAACCGTTACCACCACCAACCTCCTCAGCAGCGACAGCAAATGTTACAACAGCCCACCCCCGATTTGTCCTCGCTTAACCGGAAAGGTTCCATGCCGCCTCGCTCTTGCAAGGCGGATGGTCACGGCGTGTCCGCCACTGTTTGTGCTAACTGTTCCACTACTACCACACCCTTGTGGAGAAGAGCCCCGACCGGAGAGACGATTTGTAATGCATGTGGTACGTTTAAAACTTGATATTATTATTATTATTTTGTTATTATTATTGTTACAAGTGATTAATTTTCATTTTCGTCATCGTTCATAGGACTTTACCTGAAAGCTCGCAACACGGTTCGTCCGCCTTGGTTAAAACGCAATGCTATAAAGAAAGCCGTTCCTGCTACTTCGGAAGTTACTGTAAGCAATAATAATGGCACTTGTCCAGGTGATGGCCATTGTGATGGCACAGGAGGATCAAGCTCCTGCGATGGTTGTCCAGCTTACAACCAACATCAAGTTAACCGTCAAGCCTTGATTTGCGCAAACTGCGGTACCAACACCACTCCATTGTGGCGTAGGGATGAGGCTGGAAATACAATTTGTAACGCATGCGGTATGTGTTCGTTTAACGTGAAAATTTTTATTTGTTTCATCCTATTTTTTTTTTTTTTAGTTTATTCATAATTATTTTATTATACAATGATAGGTCTTTACTTCAAGTTACACAATGTTCACCGACCTGTTACCATGAAGAGGTCTGTGATTAAACGTCGCAAAAGAGTCGCTTTAGCGACATCACCATCACCACCAACTCATCATCATTCGGCTGGTTCTGATAATGAGCATTCTCGCAAAAGACCTCCCACTCCGGCATCCACTTCCGGGTCTGAGCATGGTTATTTTTCTTCGGACGATGACGTCTGCTCAATCGAAGATTTGTCCTCGGTAAGTCGTAAGAGAAAATCGGATGACTCGGCTGTTTCCAATGGTAAACGTCGCTGCGGAAACAATGGTAGAGCTTCTCCGATCGAAGATCATCATTATACCTCTAGGCGCAGTAGCTCCCACCACCATCACCATCATCATCATCATCACGGTGGACGCCAGATCAGTGACGATGAGCGCCGTAGAAGTTTAACTCCCGTAGAACCATCATTAAATTCTGGGATTTCACCTCAAGTTCATATTCATCACAATAATAATTCTTCTTATAATGGACGTATTATGGGCACACCGACCATTCCCTTGACATCCGTATTTTCCGGCCAATATAATAACGATGGTTCTGCTCCATCCGTCAATCTTGCTGCTCCTAACCCTCAAAGTTCTAGTTCGATTTCAGCCTTGTTGAATCCCACCCCTAATAATAGCGTCGGTCCTCAACTAGCTCCAATTACATCAGGTCAGACCGCACCCATCGAAACAACTAGTGCCCAAGGAATGCCCATCGGCTTACCTATTCCGATGAGCACTACTACTACAATGACCGCTCATCACCATCCCTCTCAACCAATCATTCCACCCATGAGCAATGCAACTCCCGATCCCAACCTTACTCATCAAGTATTACAGGCTCATCGCCAAGAATTACAACGCGAAGTTTCACACCTTAGTATGTTGTTAAACAGGACCACTGCAATTTTAGTTGGTTTGGACCAGGCAATGGCTTCCAATGTTGCAAATCGGGGTGGCGTTGAAAATACTCATTCTTGTATGACATATGGATCCTCACCTGATAACGGTTCTTTGTTGGGAAACAACAGAAGTCACTACAGCAATATTGGACTGCCAACCCCTCCTGTTAACACAGTGGGACAAAAGTCATATCTTCTCCCCCCACTCTCTCCAGCGGCGTCTTCTGATAGTCGTTAAAGCAGCGGGAAACCATACTATTGTAATTAATTCTCGCTATATATATGTATATATATATGATGTATGTTTATATATATATGTATATGTAACTTTCTTTTTTTTTTTTTTTTGATTCTTTGCAATTATAAATATACATATTCTCTCATCATCATCATCAGTATGTGTTGTGCATAATCTTTATACGTCATTAAAATTAGTAGTCATTGAATAGTAGATTGATCACTTTCTCATATCTTTTTCACCTTTTCTTTTTTCTTAAGCAATTGTCGATAACATTCTTTCATTTCATAAACCGAAGATATCTTCATATGGAGACATGAAATATATGTATAATAATGATAGAGTCTTTCGTTTGCTACCTTTTTGTTGTCATGACAATTATAAGAGACGAAAAACCATTCCGAAAAAAAAAAAAAAAAAAAGTGTATTTTCTTTTCTTGGTTAAAGAAAACTTAAAATATATCGATGGTTTTTCCTTTTAGATGTTCATGATTAATATATGATCACAATTTGAACTTGTATTAATGTTAACAAGAAATAATTTGACCTTTGACCTCGCATTTTTCTTCCCTTGATTAATGACTACTACTTTAATGTTTTCTGGTTGGGTATGGTTTCCGATTATTAGTATTATATAATGTCTTTTTGTTTTTATTCATTATTTTATTTTATTTTATTTTTATCAATCGTTTTGGGTTTTTATCGACGAGATTATGCACACATTGACTTCTATTTTTCCGAATGTTCTCTATTTCGTGTTGTTTGTCCCTCTGCTATTTTAACGTCGTGTCGGGAATTTGTTATTATTAAATCTGTCCTTTTTCTCAATAACAGTTATACTTCTTTACCGTGATCCTTTATCATAGGTTATTTTTTATTTGTTTATTTTTATTTTTTTTTTTTTTTAAAAAAAAAAATAAAGTTGTATTTTATTAAAAAAAAAAAAAAATGCAATGCAAGATCTTTTAATTTCTTCGCATGGAGGTGAATCCTAATTTGCTTATTCGGGTGTCATTTGAATTTGGGAGTGTAGTTATGATTGTTCCGGAAGTATTGTCACTCGGAACATCGGAGATTTTAGATGTAACATATTACGAAAGGATAAATCTTGTAAAGACAAGTAGTCTTGTCTGAGATCACGTGCATACAATCTCCGACGTACTATGCTCTATGCGTACCACAAAAAAGAAAGGAAGCAACGATCCTATTTTTTGTATTATGCGGGTTGATGTAATAATTGTCATTGTCTGGAACAAAGGGTTTTGTGATACTGATCGAGGAACTTACGCGGAAATTGTAAGACGCGAAATCCGTTTCCATTATTTCTAACACATTTTGGTCTCCTTAATTTCCTTTTAAGGTTTTCCTGTAATATTTATAGAATCGTCTTGTTTCAGCGTTCTCTCTTCCCTCACAAGATACTTGTCCTCTCTAGTTTGGCTGTGCCAAACTCGAAAAAAAATAAATAATAATAAATAAATAGAAAAAACAATAGGTGGACATTGCGGTCAACCAGTTCCTGGAGTCCTGGTGAGAACCCACCGGATAGTCCCATACCTTCAACATTGAAGGAAAATAAGATAGGGACGACTAATGGGTCGTATCTTGGCGAGCGTCACTTTGTTTTTCATTGCTTCTTCAGTTTTGGTAAGAATTTATAAGTTAATGTTAAATTCTGCCGGAAAATTCTTTAATTTCGTATCAAATGCAGGCATATTTATTGTTCGTGGCCACAGTCACTTTCTTAGGATTGAATTGTAAGTTGGTATATCTTTTCAAAAACATTCAACAAATATGATCGATTAAATTGTCGAATTTTTTTTTTTTTTCAGTCACTGCTTCTCTTCTGCCCGAATCTCTCTCGATTGCATACGCCGTGATTCTGGTGTTACTCTCCCCCGGTAGTTTCTGGGGAATACTCGGTGCTTTTTATGTAAAGATTCTTTCCATTTGGATAAGTTGATCCTGAAATTTAATAATGATCCGGATGGCACATTAATCAATGAAAAAATTTCCTTTATAAAAAAAAAAAAAGCGTACCGCACTATTAGTGGATCGTTACGCGAGAGATCACTGGTTCATATTTACTGTTATGACTACAATTGACATCATAAAAATCGTCTTGTCATTTACGTTGAAAAGTCAACCGATACAAACCTGCCTGAACTTTTCCAATCCATCAGACGATGTTACCACAAACTGTAGGGACATACAAGCGAGCCTTATAATATTTGGGGCGCAGGAAATTATTTTTGTACGTAATTTTACTCGGAAATTTCCACTCTCTTTACCATTTGAAAAGATTCATCGTGTCGCCATTTTAGATATCTCTTGGATTTATCGCGCGCTCTTGCGCCAAGCAACTCACGAAAAAGGTCAACGGTAGGAAAATTTTGGAGGCTCGAAAGAAAATGGAGGTGGAAAATTCTTCGCCTATCATACCAAATAGAATTTTGGAGCAGGGAGAATACGTGAATCCCGGGTCTACCTATCCTCTCTCAACGCCATTTATCACACCACCAATTAATCCGAATAGGCAGAGACCCGTGTTAAATAATTCCAGGTTTGGAGCTCGGAACAACGAGAATAATTTCAGGCCAGTCGGAATTCAGGACGATTTGAGTGTTCCCGGATTTCCTGGAAGTTGGGAGAACGCGAATGGTCAAATACCAAATACTTTGACATCGGACCAACAATACGTGACATCATTACGTTTCACGTATCGAACCCCACTTAATGCCGAACCACTTTTTACGCAAATGCGAGAAAATATCGAAGCAATGCCGGAAGCGGAAAGATCACAAAGGAACCGGATTCCACCAGTGGGGGTTCCTCAAGAAACGAGACCACGTCGAATGCTTCCCCAAACTCCAAAACTCTCCGGCTCCGACTCGCGACTTAGGCCGCAATTACAACAACCACAGAGACTCCAACCACCGCCAAGTTCTTGGCAGCAACAACAGCAACGCGCTCTCAATTCTTCGCAGGATCAGTACAACAATCAACCCCTGCGCAGTTACACACGACGTTCAAGGAGTCAACCGCAACTTCACCCTCTCCCATTACCTCCGTTTGGTGATTATACAGAAATTCCTCCAGTTCCAGTAATTCCACAAGCTAATCGACAAGTTGTCCGGCAATCCACACTTGACGAAAGATCATTGCCACCAATAATAGGGAAAAATCCACGAGACTTACCACTTCGGCAATTGATTTCCATACAAAACATGAATGAAGTTTCATCTGCAACAAAATCAAATGATAACACTCGTGTTCAGAGTGCACAATACGAATCATCGATTAGTCAATACAGTAATAGTGATGAGGAGATTTCTTCATTTAGACAATCAGGTGCATCAATGTTGAGCGACGACGACGTTTTTGTCAAAATAATTCCGAGATCAAAATCTACACAAGATTTGAGAAATGCCAATTTATCATATATAATGGATGTAAACCGTGAAGGAAGCACATATATTGGTATGCAACCTCTGTTACAACCTGGGAGTAATAATAGTCGACGAACTTTAAATGACCCTAACTATAATAGGATGATAGACAATGGTTACGTAAATAATACGGTGGCCGTAAATGCCAATAATAATTATAGAAATAATGGTCAGCTGCTTTACGAGCAAAGGACTCAAAAAGCAATCAATAATAGCAGGCGATATTATTAGAGACGTTCAAAACATTGCAAAGACTTTTTTACAGAATGCTTTATTTGCGGCGGAAAAAACAATACTATATTTATTGTATCAAGACGTAGATTGATGGGTGGCAATATATATCTGGTGGCATCTACTCATTGGAAAGAAAGGTGAGCCGGATAGAAAAAAAAAAAAACATTAATCACGTTCTTAACCTCACCTTGTATACATGTCGTATTATATACCTATATATATAATTTCCTTTATTTGTATCTATATAGCCGTTTGGAGATGTTTGTAATTTATAAATAACCTTACGATTTGACATCGAATAAAAAAAAAAAAAAAACGAAATTTTTTTAATGATCAACAAAAGAAATTTTCGAAGGCCATGTTCAGGTTGTTACCTCTCAAGCTTTAATGATTTCAGCTTTTTATTTCAAAGCTAACACCGCATCTATAAATAAAGGAATAGCTTGTCACGTGCATATATAATAGTAAATGAAAGAAAATAACAGATCCACTTACCCGCAACCCGACAAAGCTTGAGGATTATCAACAACCTGAAACTGAGATCCGATTAACTCTTCGGTATAATCTATTTTTGAACCATTGACCATTCCTAAGGATGTCATGTCCACAACCACTTTTGCTCCATCATTCTCAAAGACCCTATTATTTTTTAAGTAAAAAAAAAAAACAAAGAAATTAAACTCCAGGTTTTTCCTTGTGTCGGGGAACGTGTGTAGTCTTACACATCATCATCTTTGAAAGAAGATTCTTCCGTTAAATCATAAAAGTATTGAAATCCATGGCATCCTCCTGAATCAACAGTTATTCTTAACGCGAGGTTATTATTCTTCTCTGTTTTCGATAAAGTTTTAAGTTGCTATAGAAAGAGACGACAGTCATAAGCGTGTTCGAAAAATGACTCGTAAAGAAAGAAGAGAAAAACGTGGATTACTTCAGCAGCTCGATCCGTAATTTCAATGCCCATGTCCTTTTGTGGGTTACGCTTAACACTTGTAACATAATTCCTCCTTATATCAATTTTAATCATTGGAAATTTTAATTTATTTGTTGGATAAGAATTATTCGTATTTTTATAAATATTATTATCACCGGTACAGGAATCATTGTTCTTCTTTGTCTTCGCGACCGTTCCACTTGCAAAGGATCGAGCAAAAAGGATGTATTGTTGGGCGGTAAAAAATGCAGCCTTTGCTTTGGGCATGATTGCGGATCTCGAAAGGTTTGAATACATCGTAGGAAGAACGAAAGAAAGAAATGAATTCGAGTATGTTGAAAAAAATTTTTTTTTTTATCTCGTGACAATAGGGGCTGCTTATATTCGATCATGCCTAACTTATTAGTTACCTTAATCGAGAGGTTGCTTATAATCCGTAATATACGGTATGTCAGGACCCGGAACGGTGTTTTTGACAATTCGGCGAGGAACCTCTTCCCATACTTATTGCCACGTAAAATCTGAATCTGAAAGTCAACTGTGTCGGATTTAGAGTTGTAATTTTCGGTGGGTTACAGGTCTTGCACTTTCCCATTAACAAATCTAGGATTAAATTTACAGAAATAATATATTTTGTCGTTTGAAGAAATTTTTTCTGGTTTTTTTTGTAGCAAGTCCAGCGTCTAAGGTATGTTTATACATCGTATTTATCCATGGGCTTTGCAAGCCCAGGAATCGATCTATCACTACTTCTTGGTTGCTTTGCCAAAAAATAATACTGTCGATCATTATTTGTGATTGTAGAATTCGAACAGAGAGCTAATCTCCTACTAAGATCAATACCCTTAACTGGTTTTTGATGCCTTATTTTTCTTGTGAAAAATAATTGTAATATCGATAACTAATAGAGATTTTACTTGTTGATCGATTACTATTCTAATATCAAGGAGGTTAATTAGGAAAATAGGCAGAGGTTTGAAAGTCTTGGAAGTAAATCTCAAATAGTAAAAAAAAAAAAGAAAAATGGTATGTTCAAGTTAATAGTTTTAGTATTACCGTATATACAAAATTATTTTATACATGTTAATTAACTTTAAAGATGAAATATAAGAGATACAGTATAAACAAATTATTATTATATTATATATATTTTTTTTTTAATTCACTATTAGGAAAATTTTTTGGCAAAGATCTTTAAAGATTTTTTTGGGCATAAAACTTTAGAGGCATTCCATCATCATTAGAAGTCTCTGGAGTGAAGATTTATATATAGAACTCGGGAGAATTTTAAATTTTTTAAATTGTAATAAAATAATTTCACATTATTATTAAAATATTTATTTTTAAAAATTTATTTATTAAAAATTACTTTTTTTATATATTTTTATTAATCATTTACATTTACATCACTTATTGCCAAAAAGACCTTTATATTTTTATATTTTTCAGTTACAATCCTGAATCATTTTCATTATTTTCTACTTCTTCCAAAGTACTTTGAAATTTAATATCTTCCTACTTATGCATTTCTTGATCTTTATTACTTGAATTGTTTTCCATAAATCTGATTTTCTTTTTAATTTTTTTCTAAAATATTTTATTAGTAAATAAATAACTTTATAATACTTCGAAAATTTTTAAAACTTAACTTATTTTTTTTTATTTTGTTTTTAATTAACACTTTATTAATTAAAATACTTTCATTATATGGATTTAAAATCATTTGCCATATTGTGATAGTGAATACAATTGTTCCTTGGAGGCATCCCCTTTTAACCAGACTTTTTCAAGAATGCATATTATCACATTTTGGTTTTCCCCATTAGAACAAACATGAAGATTTTCAAAACACTCCTGAGTTTTTTATGAATTTTTCCAGGCCATAATTTTGGTAGTGATTGTATTTGTATTAATTGTATCCAGTGAGTTTTTACCAAAGACTGAAAATATAGCATCCTAGATTTTTAAAACCATGATTCTTCAAAGTGATCTATGTTGTTTCACAAGCTATTAAATAAATAATATTGTTAATAAATTTATTTATATTATTAATAATTGTAATAATTATCACTTGATGAATATACTTCTTATAATACATCTTCCAACATTTTTTTATGAGGCCTTCAAAGAACTTTGAATATTTTCATTGAAAATATTTCTCTATATGCTAGCAAAAATCTTCGGGATTTACATATATTTTTACAAAAAAGACTTCTTTCACAATACTTTTGACTGCATGCTATTATAAAATTTAAAATATTATTGAAGTTCTTCAAAGATTAAAAATTAAACCTTATCTTGATAAAATCCTGTTCAGTGATTAAATATTAATTCATGTGAATTTCGTTTTCTAAGTGGATAACCTTATCCTCAATGACTTTTTGATATTCTAATAACTGATCAATTTTTTTATAAAGACTTTCGTGAGACTTCAAAAGCTTCTCAATTACTATATTAGAAATTAAATATATAAATTGGTATTTATTTAAATAGTTATATCTTTTTTAATATACCTAAAGATTCTTTGGGCAATCTCCTAATAGGTGAAGATTTTAGAAAATGACTGGGAGATCTTAATCATTTCTGGGATAGCTCTGTTTTTGTTTCAGTTTGAGATATTGATCTTTATTCTTCAGCTTGACCTGGAATATCAGAAGTACTTTTGGGCTTTTTGAAGGATTTCAAAGTACTTCCTTATTGTTTTCCAGAGCTTGAACCCGAAATTATTTGTTGAAACATATTACATGTTTTTTTTCCTTTATTTGACATTAATAAAAAAGAAAGGACTTTAGAGATCTTATATAATACAAATCCCAATAAGTTATGTTATATTATAACCACATGCAATTCTTTGTCACCTTTCAAAAATTACTACATGACTTTAAAAATGAAATAATATTGAAATTATATTGACAAAATTATGATAACTTATAAATTAAATTTTTAATTGGTTAAAATTTATCAGTATTTTATTGATTAATTTTATACATTTTGAAGTTTTTCAAAGTTTTTTATAATATATTATAAATGTCAATTTTGTCAATGTATATTTTTAAAACATTTCTCTTATACAAGGCATGCAAGTAAATGTATATTGACTGTAGACTCTAGTAATGAATCTAATGATGATTTAAATGAGTCAGAACTTTCAATTATTTCAAAATTATTTGAAAATATAAAGAGCATTTTAAAGGTATTCAATAATATTTATTTGTTTATTTAATGTTTATTTATTAATTTATGTTTAATTATTTTAGAGTCCTCTGAAGTATATTAGCTTTCTTGAAAATAATATTTTCTCAAATAAAAATTCTTATAATATTAATTTTTTAGAAGATTCTTTAGATAATTATGATTCTTCAGAAATTTTTGAAGACATCTTTAATAAATTTCCAAATGAAGCATATGTAGATTTAATGACACTTATTTTAAAAAATAATCTCAGTACTTCAACTGGAAATGAAATAATTTCTTTTTTTAATGAACATTCTAGTTTATCAATTAATCCTTTGTTAAAAAATATTCAACAAGGATATAAATTCATAAATAATATAAAACTGCCAAATTTAGATTATTTCAAAACTTGCATATTATCTTATAACAATGTAGAATATTTCTTATATCATTGGTCAATTATTAATTGCATTAAAAATATTCTAGAGGTTCTGAATATTTTTGAAAAATTTTCAAAAAACTTTGAAATGTTATTTCAAAATAATCCAATAATTAAATTATTTTAGATTAAATATTCAATTTTATTTATTTATTAATTATTTTTTTTATAGAATAATAGAAAACAAATATATAAATAAAATTGAAAAAAAAAAAAACTCTTTTTGCTGATCCTCTGCATATACACAAAAAAGATGTTCGCAAGAAGTTTTATACTTCATTGCTAATAAAGTCTTTACATTTTCATTAAAACAACTTGAAGTTTGTCTTCATGTATATCTCCTACCCTTCCTTACTTGTTTATAAACTCCTTTGAATAAAAACTTGAGCCTCTAGTGGCTTGAAAAAACTCAAATACACACTTCCTTTACTAAGGGCAAGAAGGTTCTAGGAAATAAAAGGACTGACAAGTGGAGTGTCACTTTACAGAGCTAGAAGTAACAAGAAATAAAGATTTTATTGACAGAAGAAGGCTTATTATCCACTTTCTCACATACTGTCTTGTACCCTTTTAAAGTGTCTACTTTTTTTTCATGATTTTCTTGGAAGATTTTGCTTATCTCAGTTTGACCCTAAATTTTTGGTAACACAATGTCACCTGGTATCTGATTGGTTGACACAAAACATATTAATATAGAATTTAAACAAGCTCCTATTGATCACCTCACATGTTCTAATGATGTCACTGGTGATTGAAAAAGAAAGCAAGGATATGAACTTCTCCACTTCTCCAAATAAAGTTTAACTGAAGCAAAGAAATTATGAGGCCATTAGAATAGGCACTAAATTCCCTAGGTGATGAAAAGGTGGTTATTTGTTCAAGCTGAGGCCTTCAATTTCTTATCATCCCGGTCAGGCAAAGTATGCAAAGGAGGTTATTTCCTTATCCTGGTCAGGCTATAAGACCAAAAAGCAGAAGAATGTAAAACATTGCCTTTCTCTAGGATTGAGAATGCATTTCCCTAGACATTGTGTAATGATATCGCAATTAAGATGAATACCAGTAAAATTCCTTTAACTAGACATGGCTGCTGGAAGATATCAGAAGTTACTCAACAAGACTGAAAAGTCACATAAGAAGCTGGGGTCCACCATTAGCTATCTTCTTCTGTGCGGATGGATACAAAATTAAGAACAAAAGAAAGGAAACATTGAGCAAGACACTGGATCTGAGTAGGCAATAAGTACTTCAGATGATTACAAGAAAATAATCAAGAGCATGGATGGATAAATGTCTTAGACAATTAAGAAGAAGAAGAATATTCCAGAAGGGTTGACTCCTAATGAGAAAAGGTTTTTGGCTGAGGTCCTTTGAAGAACATGAAGCATTTTAATTTTTTTTTTCTTTTCATTTTCATGTACGTGCATTTGTATATTTTTAGATATTCCCCTTTCCTTTTATTTTTCCTTTTCACTTTCAT